AAGATGAGATCAGGTCATCAGTAAACAAATTATGCAATTAACAAAAAAATTAAAAAAAATTGTTTAAAGACCAAAATATTAATTCAATCAATAATATAGATTTATTTTTAAGTAATGTTTATATACATTTATCCTGCGCAAGGCGCAAGTCTTATCCTATTCGATTATAAAGAGCAAGACATGAAAATTAGTAGATCTACCTCATGGAGCAAATGCTATTGGGCTAAAATGGATATTTAAGATCAAGAGAAATTCGATGAAATTATAAACAACATAAGTCGAGACTAGTTGCAAAAGGATATATACAGTGACATGGGATAGACTAAGTGCTCTGGTGGCTCGTATTGAAACCGTGAGATTCATCATAGGCATGGCTGCATCAAACGGTTGGGAAGTATATCACTTAGACGTAAAAACAGCGTTTTTGCACATTGATTTGAAGGAAGCCGTGTATGTTTCTCAGCCTGAAGGCTTTGTGATCGAATGGAGTGAGTATAAAGTGTACAAACTTAAAAGGGCACTATACGGCTTAAAGGAAGCTTCTAGGGCATGGAATGAAAAGCTCAACAAAGTGTTAGGCAAGTTGATTTCATAAAGTGTACTAAGGAACCTTCGTTGCATCAGAAGAGAAAATATGGACATCTTGTGCTTGTGGTGGTATATGTAGATGACTTTATTATCACGGGTTCACAAATCAAGATGATAAGCATGGGATGTCGAAAAAGTTTGAGATGAGTGACCTTGGACAACTCACATATTATCTAGGAATTGAACTGCTCAATATAAAGGAGGAATCACATTGAAACAAGAGAAGTATGCAAAGAAAATCTTGAAAGAAACTAACATGGCTGATTGTAATGCAGTAGAAATTCCCATGGATGCATGTCTTAGAATTTCAAAAGCTTAAGAAGAGAGATACATGGACGAGAAGGAGTATAGACGAATCATTGGCTGCTTACTTTATCTACTTCATACTCGACCTGACATGTCCTATTCAGTTGAGTATTGAGCATGTACATGCATGAAACAACATAGTCTCATTACGCGGAATTGAAGCATATACTACAGTACTTGAAAGGTACTTTTGCATACCGTCTAACATTCAAAGGGACAGTCGACCAGAACTGGTGGGTTATAGTGATAACAGTCACAATGTGGACATAAATGATTGCAGAAGTACTACATGTCACATTTTTTATCTTAACGACTGTCCTATAACGTGGTGTTTGCAAAATCAAAAGACAGTAGCACTGTCGCCGTGTGAACCCGAGTTCACGGATACCATTGAAGCGGCTAAGTAGGCCATATGGTTGCTTTGTAGAGTTAACCGAGAAACCAACTGAAAAGGTGACAATCCTTATAGATAACAAATCAGCGATAGCTCTTACAATGAATCATGTCTTTCATGGGCAAAGCAAGCATATACATAAGCGGTACCATTTTATATGAGAGTGTGTCGCAATGAACAGGTAGATGTCGAGCACGTATCCAGAAACTTAAAAAGGCTGAAATTTTAACCAAAGCATAATCAAGTTCAAAGTTTAAATGGAAGAATGTTGAAAGTAAAGTTTAAGTTAGTTTGGTTCCCAAGCTAATCTAAAGATATTTGAAATAGGAAATATATTTTATCTAGAAGTTAGCTAATAAGTTTTTTTTTACCTTTTTCATCAAACAGATATTATATTACTTAAACTTGAGGTGGTCTGGGAAACCAGACCGGTATCGAACAACCAATGTAATACAGACTCATGTAAAAGGACCTTGCTATCTTATCTAACGAATCAGACGAAACATTTCTAGCACGAGGAACAAAAGAAATAAAAAAACTCCATGAATCTATCATTTAGCCTTGAAAACTTCTGCAATTCTGTTGAAAATTTTGGCCATGCTCCTGGACCATGGGTCATCATGACTAGATCCTTGCAGTCAGTACCAAACGCGTGACACGTCGACATCTGCAACATGCACTCTATTGCCCACAGAAGAGCATCCAATTCCGAGTGTAGAGGTGTGATTCTCCTGTTCTGGTTTTTGGCCCCTAGAAGTTGGATTTTTCCATTCGAGTCCTTCCATGTCCACCCACAACCACTGAAGAGTGTGTCATGATCCATCAATCATGCATCTCCTTGAATCATCCAAAAATTTATTGAGGCTGGCTCTCTGTTAATACCCTTTCAGGTTTCTTGTTTGCCTCAAATCAGGCATGACATTCGGCCTCTGCATGTCTGACAGTTTCCAATGGGTCCATGTCTATCCCTCTAAACAGTTTGTCATTCCGAACCTTCCAGATATACCATATGATCCACGGGTAAGGATCCTTATCAAGCTTCGGATCTTCGATATCATTTTTCGACAGAACAAGTAATCCATATTTGTGAAATGGTTCGCATTGGGAAACACTTGAGGGTGAAGTTGAGGTTGCTGCTAAAGCCCATATTTGAAGTGGTGGACATTCAAATCGTGTGTGATTGATCGTTTCATTTTCAGCCCTACATCCAGGACAATGGTTGTTACATCGCATATGACGGTGTGTTAAGTTGCTTGTTACTGCCAGTTGTCGTGAGATTGATTGCCATATAAAATGTCGGATCTTCGGTGGAGATTTGATCTTCCAAGAAAAGGATTGGAGTGTGACTATACTTGGTTCTAGTACAGGTTATATTTCTCTGTTGAGAACATTTGTTGTCACCCAGTATCCAGACTTAATCGTGTATCTTCCACTTTTAGTATATGACCAACATAATTCATCTCCGTGATATCCCTGGATTATGGGAAAAGATCGTATCAATGGGATATCCTCTTGAGCGACATAGTGTTCTAGTAGTTCCAAGTTGCACTGGTTTGGTTGCCACTCATGAAGTGGCTCACTGGCAACATCGGATGTACCACAGGGGCTTTCGGCATAGCTTGACGGGCATATATTGTTGGGATCCACAGGTCTTCCCAGATCCTGATCTCATTCCCCGAGTGTACTTTTTGTTTAATCCCCAATGTTATTAATGGCTTTGCCGCCATACTAATCCATCCATATGAGGGATTATCAAAACTGTGCAGTCGCAAAGACGAACTAAATCTGAAGTATTTTTCCCTCAATACTCTTGCTAACAAAGAATCAGGGAATTGAACTAGTCTCCAAAGTTGTTTCCCTAGCAGGGCGAGGTTGAATTCATAGATCATTCTGAAGCCGATCCCGCCTTCTTCTCTTGGTTTGCATAGCTTCTCCCATATTGTCCAGTGAATACCTCTTTTTGGAGGTTTTGAACTCCACCGGCTAAATAAGTTAAGTCTAATAAGATTATGAGTTTTTTAGTCTCTATATAAAAAGATGTAAGGTTGTTGCATAATTTATAAATTGAGAGATTAATTCTGAGAGCTTAAGTTTTGAAATATTTTATTAAGTTAATAAGAAATAATTTTCTTATAATCTTTGAGTTCATAGTCTTCTGTTAAAACAATAAATTATAGATCATAAATACTATGTACATTATTTCAATATTTGGTAATTAGTTTCAACTTTCAAAAACAAATGAAGGTTTATTTAACGTGGTTAGAGTAGAATGATTATGTATGCAATAATACAGTCATACAAAGTTGTGGAAAGAACAAATTTTGTGTAAGCTGAATGGTCATTGGAAAAATTGTTGTTTCAAAAAACGTGCACTGGAGTCTGGAAGTTTCGTTTCAGAATGAAACTGTAGTAAGCAGTGTTTTGAAATTCGACCCGGACCTGCAGTTGAACCGGTAAATCCGGTGACCCAGAAAAAAATCGGTTTGGGTTTTGTGAAAAAACCCAAACTTAAGAAACCCACAAAAACTTGTGAAAACCCACTAAAACCAAAATTCGATACCGGTTGAACCACCAGTTGAACCAATAGATAATTTTACTTTTTCTTTTTAGTTTTTAATTATGTTTTTAGATTCTGTTTTATATTCTAAATTTCCAATTAAAAAGTTAGATTTTCTCTTTTCAATTTTATATTTGTTTTTCTTAGTTTTTAATGAAAATCTGTCTATGACTCCTGAAAAAAATAAAGTGAACGATGGTAGAAAAAAACAAAATTAGTTGATGTGATTTGGTGTTAGTTTATTTTTGTTATTGATAATTTATTACAGTGATGTTTTTCTTTTTTTTTTGTTAAATTTGAAGTTTAATTTGTTATTCACGTTAGACATTTAATTATTTATGAATTTTATGTCTTGATATTTTTTAGATGTCATAACTCTTAACTTGTTACAAAAAATTTAAATAGTCTAAACTAGTTTTGATATTTTGTATGTCAAATGAAATTAAAAAATATAAGACTAAAGTTAAGTATTTTCTTAATTTTTTAAAACATAAAATATATACATATCCAAAATATTATTTTATGTTTTAAAAAAAATTTAGAAAATATTAAAATTTAGTTTCTTTATTTTTATTTTCATAGCTAATATTCTGTTATATATAATAAAATTAATTCATTTATTAATATGTGGTTCATCCGCGGTTGAACCAGTGTCCCAATAACCTGGTAAGTCATTCGGTTGAGTGTTCGGATCGGGTTTAAAAACATTGGTAGTAAGGCAATCATAAAATTTCCTGTCAAAGTATTAATAAAAAATCCTCTTACTTTGACAATATTCTTGAAACATTTCCTGCATTTCCATAATATAAACATATCATATAAGAAAAAGAACACATAGTCAAAAATTCATGTGGGAAAAAATTAAAAAAATTTAATGAGATGGACAAGTTATGTTGACAACTAATAATATTATTTCTTTGTAGTAACATTGTTTCTTTTAATTGTATTATTTTTACATAATATGGACACCTTTTAAATAAAATTCCAATTTTGAACAAATTTATGTTCATAAATGTATTTTGACCCTTGTCAAAACTTTATGATGATATGAACATGTTTGATAATATAAAAGCATGCATCCAACTTCTTTGCTATTAGACATCAGTGCATCATTTCTCATACACATAATCTATAGTTTTCAATCCTAATCTTTACATGTCTCTAAGAAATACAGTTGAAGATGGAGATAATACTCTCTGTTTGCAGCCAGAAGATTCTGAAATCAGCTTTCTTCTCAACAAATTTCCGGCGAGTACTACTAATGTTCTTGTTGTCGATAACGATATCATTACTTTGCTTAATATGAAAACACTCATGATACGATGCTCCTATCAAGGTGATTATTTTCCTATATCGCTTAATTTATAAGTTCTGAAGAGTTGTAAGGGTTAGGGTTTATACTCATTTGCTGTTAGTTATCACAGTGGCTATTTATTCCAATGCGCAAGAAGCTATCTCGTTTTAGTATTGACAAGTGAAAACGAGATTAATATCGTGATTTGGGATTTTCATATGCCTGAAATTAATGGAATCCAAGCTCTCAAAAACATTGGTTCAAAAATGGATCTGCCTGTATTAAGTATGTAAACCTCAATAATTTTTTTGACTTTTCAAAATTTTAAAACCAATTATTTAATTAGATAAAAATAATAATACATTTCATATTTGTGTAGTTATGTCGGATGATAATCAAATAGAATCGGTCATGAATGCAACTAAACATGGTGCATGCGACTATCTTTTGAAACCGATTAATGAAGATGTCATAGCCAACATATGGAAACACATTGTACGCAAGAGGATGATATCTAAACCCGGTTTAATTCCACCGGTTCAATTGGATGTGATTGAAACTAACGACTTAAATCAAGAGAAAGATGATTCCATGACCGTCGACCAAGGTAATAGTGAACAAAACATTGATAATATGACTGAAGAGAAAGCAACAAAGAAAATCCGACTGCCAAGGATTAAAGAAACTCAACCAATCCAACCATATTTGGGTCAGAGTAACGGTTCAGACAAAGACAACGACGTTTCCAGGACCGTAAGCCAACACAACGACGGTGAACAAAACATTGATAAGAAACATAAGAAAAAACCGAGGAAGCCGCGTGTGTCATGGACTGGAGATCTTCAAATGAAATTTCTTCAAGCCGTCGACATACTTGGTGGTCCTGAAAGTAATTTAACTATTCTTAATCTTTAATCTTTCATATTCTTGATTATGATCCTTTATCTGTTCTAATCGTATTTTGAATGCAAATCCGCAGAAGCTATTCCAACGCCACTTCTCAAATGTTTGCAAGAGGTGAATATAGAAGGACTCACTAGAGACAATGTAGCTAGTCATCTTCAGGTAAAAAAAAAAGCGCAATACTTCTATTAAATTATTTTTTGATTTTGCGCATAACGATAGCACAAATTCCATATCAATTGTGTTGTTATGCAGAAGCATCATATCAATCTCAAGGGAAACCTAATTTATCAACAGAGGCGAGAGTTTGACTGGTCCAGTGTGTGTAGACCCTCCTTACCTTTATTAGTTCTGAACAATAGTCTTACTGCAACATCGTCTTTTATGAATAGTCGAGACGTTTACCCTGTCCAGGAGAATCAATATCATTGCAACAACCAGGTCATGACCAATACTATGCCGAGTTTACCCTACACTAATTATGATCAGCATCAACTCCAGCAGCTTCAACAACAACAACAACAGTATCAGATTCCTCATCAGTTGACTGACATGATAAGAACGAACGAACCTGGACGAACTTAGGCATTGATGTAAGGGATCCCGATCCATTTCGTCAAAGTTTACCGTTTGATCCAAATGACCTTTTGTACAATGGCTACAATATCAGTCAGTGATTCGGCCTTCTCTTTACGACGGTCTGTGTAAGAAAATTCAAGATTTTTTTTTTAGGAAAAGAAAATTCAAAACTATACGGGAATGAGCACATAGATACTATGATGGTTTATGTTTTGTTCTCAGGAAAGGATAAATGTCAAGTTTGAGGGATAATTATGAAGATCAGAGAAAAATGGAATATTTCTGCCAAGAGATAAACATGGGCCTGATGACAAAAAGGAAAAAGCTAAACCGACCTAGAAAGAGTATATAAGGAGGTTTCAAAGCGAGAGCAAAAAGACCTTTTTCACACACAGAAAATGTAGCACTTAGAGCGTATAAGAAACTTTCCGTTATCGAGCTGCGTCTCAATTAGGTCTAGCAATCTTAGGTTACTGGAATCAGGGAATTCACAGTGGACTCTTGTGATCGATATTTTCACCTTGTTGTAACGATTTACGCTGATTCGGAATAAGACTTCTCTTCGTTCTTTTCCGATTCTCATATTTGCTTGTCTGTTTTTATTGTTCTGATTGCTCGGCGTGTGGTCTAGCAGATATCCGGGACCTTCTGGGAAATTAGGGTTTTTCCTAACATTCATAAATCGACGGAAATCGACAGTAGGAAATTTGGTTCTTAAAAGTTTTCAAAAATGCAATTGAGTGATCCATCTGGATGTTGCATTTTAATGCACTAAACAAACATTGATTTGCATGTTCACCCAGATGGATCATTTGGATGAGCAAACGAACAGCGCCTAAGTGTTTATAACACTTAAAGTCAGTTAAACAGTCTAAATGGTTTCATTCTCTTTTTATATAACATTTATAATTTTTTTAAATACAATTGAAGAAAGTCAGAAAATAATAATATATATCGATATCTTTGAATAAATAGCAAAAACAATTAGTACATAATATTAGATGCTCATGTGGAATAGGAATTACTATTTATTATTCTGATTAATGAAAGTACAAAAATATTTGGAATATATAATTATTTAAATGCTCTTCAGAAGATTTCAATGGTCCAGACAAATTTTCTCACATAGAGCTTTGGTGTTTCGACATTGTTTATCAGAACTGCAACACCAAAGATTCTTTGATGTTTTAGAGCATGTTGGTTTGGACTCTCTTTCAACGTTGACACCTACATAAAATTTTAAAAATAAAAAAAAATTAAAAGGATAGGATATTATTATTATTTTAATGGTAATAATGATAAGAGATTGGACGAAATGTAAGCAATAGATGACATACATTCATGACAACAAGAAAGAAAAACCAAAACAATACAAAATATAGCAAATTTAGATGTTGACATTGTAACTCTTCACTTTAAATAAATGTTTTCTGTGTTTGTTGTAGAAAACCTTAAATGTGAACATATATATATATATATATATATATATATATATATATATATATATATATATATATAAGTATTTGAAAACTATTTGTACCATTATCCGGAAAAAAGGTTTTAAATTGATGGATTAGTTTTTTTAATCCTAAAATAGTTATGTTAAATTTTTATCAAGCATTCATTTTAATTCTTGATATGACATGTCATCACCTAAAAATACCATTAAGGGACAACCACACATACGTAACCTTGATTGTTAAAAAAGTGGATAAAATCAATTAGCGATAGATTTGTAACGTCCCGGCTGTCTACAGCTAATTGGCCTCCCCAGCCACTCACGACTAACGGGCCTTTCACGTCCATTCACTCGGCCAGTGGGACCCTTCCATGCAATGGGTGATACATTAATTTTTTTTCAGAAGCACGAAAGTCTTGTTTACCGACCCTGAAATAACCACATGACCTTTTATTTTTATTAGTCTCGCTCGCATGATATCGTGAATAACTTCTCGATAGGTCACCATCCTTCCACTACTCCATATCAAGCACGCTTAACCTTGGAGTTATAATGGATGTGTGATCGAAAAAGTAAGTGTAATTTCGTGACATAGATAGTCAAATCATTTCTTGTAAAACTTTTTCAAAATACCACACACCAGGATGTTACAAAATTAACTGTCAATTTTAGCATTTACTAATTTCTCATCAGCACCTTTAAATATTTACATGTATATATGTCTATAAAAATTGTGTCATGAAGATCAGAAAGACCTGAAATTATAATTATTTGTTAGTTTATTTTCTTTATAATATTTATATTGACTATTTATCCAAATGTTCATTTTATTTTTTTGACAGAATATATCACCACTTTCTGTCAGAAAAAGAAAAAAAAAAGAATATATCACCACCCCAAAGTTTCAACTAACGACAATCTACATATACGTTATATGTAACATTGAAAGATTAAATATGTGACCAAAAATAATTAGCAATAAATTAGCTACTAATTGTTTTATATACTAATTTCTTATAGATGGAAAATACAGATTAATGAATAAATAAAATTATGTTTATTTAATGTATTAACCTATAGATATAATGAAATTCGAGCATATATTGATTGACATAAAATTATATTAAAAGTACTAATTTATATAATCCTCTAATTTTCTGAAATTTTTTTATAGATTAAGAAATAATATAAATTATGTTTTTTCTTAGATGATCGTGTATATTATTTTTAGTATTATGTTATGTAACCAGAACATATGATTAATGTTATTATTTCGATGATGTCAACAACAATATGTGATTGTTTTTTTAATATTATTAACATTTTTATCAAATTAATACCATTCTAAAACATATAATAGAATTCGTTTATAATCTAATAACTAAATTTAAATATACTTAATAAGATAAATTTAATATCATTCTCTAGAATAATGTTCAAACGTTAAATCTAAATTGAAAAATAATTTGACATATAAATAAATTTTAATCTATATATTAGAGAAAAATTATAAGATATTTTTTGGGTGAAAATGTATTTAAAAATATAGACATACTAATATATATATAATCAACTAAATTACACTATTTTGATTTTTCTTACTTTGTAATTTGATTTGTTCAGACAAATTAAACAAAATAATTAATTTTCTGTTTTATCTAACCAAAACATTATTAACTATTAACCTAACATAATTAAACAAATAAAAACGCTTACGTGGGAATAGAAAAAATTATATAAAAATAAAAATGAATAAAAAATTGAAAGTATTTTCTAATTTCAAGTGAAAATAATTCTCTAATATATTAAAAAAAAAAGTGAATCTATTCTACAAAAAAAACACTAGAAAATTTTATGCTTTGTATAGAATTATGAAATTATAAGTTACTTATCTAAGATATCAATTTGATTGTTTCACCACGCGAAATAAAATACGCAACCGACATAGTTTACAATTTCCTCAATTCAATTTGAAAAAAAAAAACACACGCGGTTGCACGAATCAAAATCTAGTTTTATATTAAAATTTAGGGAAGTTAATTTAAACAACACACAAATTGGGTAATATGACCGGAAGTTTATAATTATTACTAGCATTTTTTAATATCCAACGTGTCTTTTTATTACGTTGTGACAAAATACCGTAATTATAAGAATACCATTACTTTTAAAACCACTTCAAAAAAATCAGCACTACATAGGAAATTGATGATGTGTATTAATGAACTTACATGTAAAAATGCTATGGGCTGCGTTAAGAACATAAACCATCCATACGTTACAGATGATTGACGGAATCTGACTGATTTATGATATAACAGCTGATTTACAAACACAAGTTACTACTGATTTATATATCGGTGGGCTGATATGTCAAAAATTTGGCTGGGTTGGAGATAAAACATGGCTGAGATATGTTTCTCCTGCTGATTTAGTGATCATCGGCTGACTGAGTTATCAAACTTCCGGCTGGCTTATGGGAGGTAGTTAGGGCTGATTTACGTATAATCAGCCCTAATGAGCTAGATTAACAGTAAACTAAGCCTCATTATGGGTGACTTATTAATGAAAGATTAATTACTACAATAGTATTCATTTAACGGCTAGCTTAATATTTACCAGCCAAATTACGGTTGATTTATTAGCGAATGATTAGTTTCTGAAATATTCTTCATGTTGCGACTGACTTACATTTGTAGTTGATGGCTAATTTATTTAGGCTGAGTTATGTGTTCGTTTGGTGGCTGATTTACCGATTTTCCATGTCATCAGCTCTGATTATCCATGTCATCTGCTCCTTTTTCATGTTATTATTAACGTTACAACAGCTAAATTAGGGTTTATGATACAGATGCCGTGTCTGCTTCTTCTTCCTCTGCCTTTTTCATTATTATTCTTTTCATTCATCTTTCTCTGAGATCTTATGGATCCGAAACTATTGTTTCCAGTAATCGGGTCAACAAAAACAGCTATATATCCAGTGCTGACGGTAGATGGTGTGGATTTCTGCTTATAGATGAGAAAATAGTTGCAGAGAAGACAATTTCAGACGAAAACAATAATGTCGACTCAAACGATGGTGAGGGTCTAATCGACGAATGATGTTTTAAGTTAAACATCGTTTCATTGCATTCCCTCTCTTTTGATCACAGTTATCAGTGATGAGGATTACAATTATTAGTGATGTGGATTTGTTTGCAATTTAATAATTTTTAATTATAAATTATGTCAATTAAAAAAGTAACTAAAGGTGTTTTACTGTAATTTACTAGGAATTTACAAACATTTGAGTAATTTTTAATATATATGATATTGTATTCTTATCACAACTTTTCTATGCTATTTGATTAATTTTCTTTAAAATTTAAGTACAAAAATGGTAAATAACAAAAAAAAAACAGAAGATATTAACTTATTCCAGTGGCACTATTACCTACCCAAAATCCGACACATTTACGGACCCAGAACATGGCCATTTGTAACCATATATCCCCAAATCAAAAAAAAAATCTCCTTCACCTCCCACAATCCAATTTTGTTGTTCTTG